TTTCCTGCCTACAAACAGTGTTTTTGTTTTTGACAAAAATTCAAGTTATACATTTCAGTTCAGCACATTTCAAATTTTGTTTTTCTACAAGGCCAAAACTCATTCTATTTGCAAAGCTTTTGTATAAAAAACCCCCATAAATCTGGTTTTGTATATATTAAGTTAGTCACGTTAATTCAGCTCATCGCATACTTGCAAAGTACATCTAAGTGACCAAATAAATGCCGCAGAGCATTTCAGCATTGTTCATTATAGTATCTTACTAAAAAGCTCTCATTTTTGGTACTTTGTAAACTATTCAGGAAATCTGTGTTCTGTATTTGGGTCTAGGCAAACAGTGAGCCAATTCTTGTGTTTACAGACTGGAATGTGTGTAATATCCCTTACTTGATAAACACTGAAGAGAATTCAATGTTGGTGCAACTCCCCTGCAACAGGATGAAATTTTTCCCTAGTAGTACATCTCTGAGTAAGGAAGGTGGTCTTTTGAAGTGCTGTTGACATTTCTCATTAAATATTAATTATGGGAAGTATTGGGAGTGATGATTCTCTGCTGTCAGGTAGGGGAAACAGGTTAATTCTTTTTGAACCCATTATTTCAGTTCTGTGTTTATGGAGGCAGTGCACAATTCAGTTCAAGAATGAGAGTCTGCATGTCTCTAGATGTTCAAAAGAAATATTGCTGATGTGTTAAAGAATGCCCTCAATAATTTACATCATGACTCCCATATTTTTTATTCTTCCAAAAGCCAAACATTTTCAATACAGGGCCTTGCCAATCAGGAGATTTGAAATGCATTGCAGATGGGAAATAGTTACAGCTTTGATAGAACCCTGACATGTCTCAAAATTAAATTTAGTTTTACAACAGAATTTATTGGTTAAGACATTTCCAGAAACAAATACATCTCTTAGCTAATTATGTTTCTAACTAGCATTGGGAAAATTTAAACCCACAACTCATATGTAGTAAATAGAGTTTCTTAGATCTTGAAGGCAATTTAACCTTCACTGTGTATCTGTGTGTCTCTGAAAAAAAAAAACACAAATAATTTTGTCACATTAATTGGAGTGAATTTGCAGTTGAATTATATGTTTTCTGAGTTAGTGAGGTATTAAGTAAGAAAGGCAGTTGAGTGATGCTGTCAAAGACGTTTTCAGTATTACTTAGGTTGAGAATAATAAGCAAAAGATGTAGTGGGAGTGGGTGACAATAAAAAGAAGTTTCTCATTTGCAGCTACACAATGTGTTTATACACTGTCTTTATGTATGTTTTGATGTGCCTGTTGATACAGAAGTTTCTGCTTTTGAAGAGGCGTGATGTGATAGTAATCATTAGTTTTATTACGGTTCCCAAAAGGTAAAGGTAGTGGAGTTGACCCAGGCCACAACTTTGGTTTAAAAAAAATAAAATAAAAGCATGGATTACACAAATCTAGCACAGGATGTAACCTAAAATCAAACACTTCAACTTAATGTCAGGAGAATCATGAAGTCTGTCTTATGTTCTCAGTGCTGTGTCTGGGGAAAGAGACTGACCTTACTGTTGAATCTAAAACATTGTGGCCCTGTGAAGAGACATTTTTGAGGCTCATGGGGGAGAGCAGAAGGAAAGAGTAGTATTCTGTGATCTACTTACTGAACAGCTCTCTGTATTTTGTCTACTGTCTCTTAAAATACTGTCCTGAGGGCCAGCCTTGGAACTTAGGCCTCCCCTAGACTCCCTTCCTAATAAATGCCCTGCTCTCTGGATGACAAAGCTCAATATGCAAATTAAATCTGTGATCATTTACTACAATTTGTAGTCTGGTGTGAGAAAACTTGCAAAGATAAGGGTATAGTTTTGAACCCCTTAGTCTTGTAATTACTTAACTGTGCATTATGCATTTTCCACAAAGTGTTTTAAAAATACACATCTATATCCTCAAAGATATCTAACTGGGCAAACTGGAATTAGGTATCTAAACCCATTTTGATGGCCAGGGATAAGTTGTTATATGAAGAGGTTATCGCTATCACTCAGACCTGCAAAGTTTTAAAATAAGAAGGGAGCTCCTTGTTAGGTTTTTGCAGATGTTTTAAGCAGTCAGTATGAATCAGGCTCTGATTTTGACTACCAGGTTGTGCTCTGAAAGAGACAAAAGCTTCTGCTCTAAATCTTGACAGGGCTTAGGTATGTAATCAGTATTGAACTGTTCTTCCTTACCAAGACAAGGACAATTACAGGCATGCAAAGAAGAACCTGGAGAATTTAAAAGCAAAAAGCGTGAGTGCCTATGAAGCTGAACACGTTCGGAGTTGGAAAGCCACTTAATCGGGGTTTTATGGTCTTGGGTGCTTCTGCTTTAAACATCCAAACATTTTGTTGGGTCTGATTCATTCAGACTGACTGAAGACTTCCGTGTGCTGAGTGGGGCACTGTTGTTGAGAATGCAATGCAACGGTGCAGTGACCAGTGTCATAGAGGATGGTTGTTAAAGATCAAGAGCCAGGAATATTTATGATCTTCAGGAAACATATGAACAGAATAAGCAGTATACTTTACTCTCTTGTTCTTGACAGACAAATTGCAGTCATCGCATGTATAGTTAAACAGTTAGATTATGTCCTTGAAAACTTTCCCACCTGTAGCCTGTCCTGTAGAAGCTGCTATGCTTGGGGTATTGATGTTGATTTCCTCTTAATTCAGTTATTTTTCTCTTTTCAAATAATTAAATTTATTTTCTTCTGGAGTGAAGACAGACATCTGAGTTCCGAAGGTGCTTACGATGTGCAGATAGCAAATACCATTTATTAAAAGTCAACAGAAGAGAGCAGAATAGCATGGCGCTCCTTTCTGGGTGCAGTGCAAAGGTGCTTCTCATCTAGCTGACATACATATCACACGGCAAGCTGCTGGCTGTTATCCATGCTGCTACATACTTCTGCTTGACTCCAACGATGGGTTTGTTTCATGGGCTACATTTTGTCATCCCATCATATTACTGTGACATGTTACAGTACTGTAATGAAGTGACATGATGTGATGCTGTATAATACTATAAACAGATCTTGCAGAGCTATGAAACAGTTTCCTAAGGGAAAGAAGCTTGCAGGTGTTTGAAAGCAGATTAACTAATCTCTGGGAAATATGTTATAAACAGCAGTTCTGCTGTGGCTGTAGGGTGGATTAGATGATCTGGTAGATCTGTTCCATCATGAGTCCTTCATAATTTTGGGATTATATAATATGAAAAAATTAAAGGGATACTGTCAAGTAGTTCATGTATAAACCATTTCTTTCCTGTTATGATCTGATGGGGAAAATGCCTTCTAAGTTCCAGATTTTTTTATTCTAAATCCACCACTGCTTGTCAGGATTTTTTCTTAACAATAGATAGCTACTCATCGTGCATGACTATACACAGTATTTTTGTTGTGCTGCTGCAGAGCCAACCAGCCAGCCAGCAGAGCGAGCACAAGTTAACTAATAAATCCTGTTCCCAGAACTGTGCTGACAGCTGTGATGACACTGATCCCAAACAAGTAAGTATTTTTTAGTAGGACAGACTCACAGTAGCTTTTTGCTCCATGAAAGGAGCAGAAGGAATGAAACAGGTATGAAAAATACATATTTATGCTTAAAATAAGGTATTAAGTAACCAGGGTAAGTGGAAAAGCAAGCACAAAATCAGTATGAAAATACTTGACAGTGTCCCTTTAAGGGAGAATGTGGTTGCCTGCAGGTTGGTCTTCTCTGAACTGAAGAAATGGTAAATGATCAAAGACAGATAAGGGAGAGAGATCCATGCAAAGGAGCAATATGGCCTTGGTGTAAGTCAATTAAAATAGTCACATTTGTGCTATGAGAGAGGGCTTTTTTTTCTTTTACGTTATGTTGTCAAATTCATTTTTTTAAGGATTTTTTTCATAACAAGCTGATTGAAAAATAGTATTGAAGTACAAAAGGATGCATTTGTGACTAAATCTTTACAATCAAATGGAAAATATTCAGAACTCCCATAAGTTTATCTGTGAATTTACAATATTGCTTGACATGCATAAAACTGTGATGTCATGTATACAGGAGAATCCCAGCTTTTATATAAGTAAGGAAGAAACAAAGGGAGAGAAAAGAATCAAAGTTATAGATCAGAAAGCAAATGAAAATAATTTCAAGTACATTAGCCACGCCCTTTCCCTTCCTAAATACATGACTTTTAGGTCTCTCCACTGGTTGTGGGGGTCACAGACAAATATTGTGAGTTTCAAATTTTGCTTATATGCATTGCCACATATGCATATAGCTTTGTCGAAGCTACCAAAGGGTGTCTTGCTTTTTCTTGTTATATTGTGTGTTGTGGCTGAAGAACCTAAGAATCAGAACCCTCATTTATATTGAGAAAAAAATACTTTTGCTACCCCCAGCTTTAACGATTGATTATAAGAATCATCAGCCTAAAAAAGTTCTTCCCACTGTGTGAAGAACTTACAAAAGATGCACTGCACTTCCTGTCCTAGGATAATTAGTCAGGACTGTGAAGCAATTATCAAGTCTGATTTCTCTAAAATGCAGGACAGTTTGGTCTTTTAAGGTCAGGATTTTACTTTTGTTTAGGTTTTTGTGTGAATGAATGTATGTGAATGCATATGAAATCACTGTTTGATCAGGCGTTGGTCTTCTCAGACTGCCTAATGCTGCAATGCAAGAGAGGCCCTGTTCTGGAAATTCAGACTGAGGAAATATGGACATATGGGAAAAATCACAAATTGAAAGCTTGTCACTTACTTTGTTATTAACTGTATATAAAAAGGCATCTTGTCCTTGTAAAAACTACTTATATTACCTCACTGTCACTCTTTAGATTATTTTTACTGATAGATTAGTTCCTTCCATTTATAGCCAGGACACATTCTGACAGGTGTTCAAACTTTTCATGGTTGCAATGCTTTCTTTTACTTAAGGAACTACAAATTAAATTCTAAATGACTGATGTAATGTTTGGGTTGCATTAAAGGAAAAGCAAAGTTGTGTGATAGAATATATAGGCTTTTTTTTTTTCTTTTCCTGTGATATGATAGATTCTGCATTCAAAACTAATGAATTATATAAACTTCGTGTGTGCTACCCAGATCAAACCATTTGAAACAGAATCTTGTCAACAAGCTCAAGTTTTGGGGTTTTTTTGTCTTCTGGAGGAGATCTGCTTTTCTTCTTTCAAATGACTCTGTGAACAAATAGTTGCCAGACAAACTCTGTACAAAATACAGTCTTCTGATGAAGGATTTGACTGTCAAACCTGTAAAATTCTGGCAAAAAATTAAACTTAGACTGAATTTTCCTTCTTTTGACAGTCTACAATACAAACCAGTAAGCTTTCTGTAGTGAATAGGAAGAATTAAGTCTATGTACAAATTGCAAATGTACTCAGTAAAAATTGCCACTCTTAGCTAATCAGTTTTCTTCTTGACTTGATTGTGACTGTGCAAAGCTCAATCACTGTGTAGCATCATTTTCTTGATTAGCTACACTTAAACCAGAGGTGCAGAAGATCATCAATACAAAAACTTGTGATGAGTGTAACAGTAACAGTTCTGAATTTGGTAATAATAAAACATTCAAAATTTAGATAGACATGCCATAGGGAAAAAAAGAACAAAATTATTAACAGAAAAATCCCTTCTCATATTCGTACTTAAAGAAGTAGCCAAAGTCTGCTTTGAGTGAAAAAGGTCACAACATTAGATAAAATTAACCCCAAGGAAAACAACCTATGAAATCAAGCTTGTTTAATACTTATGATTCCTTTATGCTTTTTTCCCCCTGCTCACTCTGATATTGTGTTTAGACATTTTTAAAAGCACTTATACTATATTTCATTATCATACATTGTTATCAGTAATTGCCTGTATGTTAATGTGTGTTGATGGTTGCTATGGCAGCTACCAGTGCATTAGTCTAACTGTATATCATGGCTAAGAAGTGACAAAATTGTTATTCCAAACTTCTGATTCATATTTTTAAAGACAGTACTTCATAATATATTTTGAACGTACAGTGTTTTAGAGGAAACTTTCTCTTTCTATGTCTTTTCCATGACAAATAATTAAACCCATGGTGTTTCATTTCTGATGCTAATGTTAATATTCTTTATATTAAATAATAATTAATTGTAATGTTTACTTCAACATTTGTTTGGTCCGTTCTGTTCTGGAAGCAGCCCCTTTCCACAACTACCAAATTATATTTGAAAAAAAAGGGATGTCAACTGAAGTGTTTGGAACAAATCTGGAAAGTGGTCCCTTCAGATGGTCC